TGACTGTGCTGACTTAAATAATTGGTCTGTCCTTGCCGACGAGCTAGTGAATCAACAAGCTATCAAGACACAATGGTCAAGTTGCGTAGTGATTTACACTTGTAGTAGATAGATGAGTATAATTATTGCGCATGGTCATGTCGATCTAGCACTTGAATAAGTCTGAGCAGTATTTGGTGATATGAGTTGATTTAGGCCCCGTTTGGGGCAATTTTTTATCCGTGATGTGGTTGGGCACTGCTGCTGGCGGCGTTTGATAGATGTGGTGCAAAAGCGTCTTAGAATAATTTACATGAAATGCGAGCCGTGGGTTCAACCCCGCAACGTGCTTTTCTTGGTGATTTTTTACCCCGCTACCCCCTTCATCCCCTCTCTAATGATTGTTGACCTAACTTTCATCACTCGATTCCCTTGGATTCGTGGCTTTGGTGGGTAGGGCTCGGTTCCATTTAGATCTGTTAGTCGTGGTGGTTGTTGCGGTGAGCTTTCCTTTCTCCCTCTCCCTCTCCCCTCCATTCTCAGCTCAGTTTGGATCATTGTCATTCCGCTCTCTGTGCAGCGGTCCCTCTCTCTCTCCCCTATATTTTGATATTCTCTACCTTATATATGCTGACATTTTGATTTTGTAAATATTTATGTGCAATGGTTTTCCCGGGTTCTCTGTGTTCCTATCATTGGATGGTTTTTGGTTGATGTTGAATTTTAACATTTGTTTGGTTACTCTATGATATTCTCATTTGATGATTTGGGTTATTTATGCTACATTTGGTTGATGATTTGGTTTTTCTTTGCTCTATTTTTTTGATGCTTGAAATTTGGAAGTGGTGGTGATTGCATGTGGAATTTGGAGGTGTTTGATGGTTGTGTGGTGTGGTGGTAATTGGAAATACAAATTGTGGAGATGTGTTGTGGTAATTGGAAATATAAATTGGTAATTTGATGGTTGTGTGATGTGGCATTGTGGTGGTTTTTCTTTGATCTATTCTGTTGATGCCTAAAATTTGGTGGTGGTGGTAAGTGGAAATGCAAATAGAATGTGCAGGTGGTGGTGTATGAGAGTTGTGTGGTGTGGATGTGTGGAAGTGGTGTGTGCATGTGTTCGTGTGTTGTTTAGGTGGTGGTGTAAGAGAGTTGTGTGGTGTGGGAGGTCTGTGATGAGACTTTTTGACCTTATGGGTTCTTTTGAATGGTAGGTTTGTCATTGTTGGTTGGTGTCACATGTGAAATTCTAATAAAGACAACCAAGTTCCTCATGTTTTTTGGTGCTATGATTTTTGAGGTTCTTCTTGATGGTTTTTTTGGTAAAATGTATATGTGACAAACACGAGCTAGGCATTACGTGGGTTAAAGACAACCAAGTACATTTTTTTTATAAGGTTAGTTGTTTTCTTGTAGTGACAGATTCATTGATTGATATACTAAGTTCTCTGATACCTCACAACTGCATAAAACTATAATTAATTACTTTTTTTTTTATCAATTTTTACTTGTGTTATGTCTAATAAGATGTCTTTTAAAGCATTCAGGAAAGATGAGCTTGTGAATTTGTGGTACCTCCCAAGGATTACACTGCTACTGTGGGCTTCAATGTTCTCTGCTTACTTCACGTTAAACACATAGCTACGAGAGACGGTTTTACATGTGCCTGCGGAGAGTTATGGAAAACTGTAACTTTTTTTTGTGAGCAGATAGTCTAGAAAATTTCATTGCCGAGAGTAATTGGACATTAAGAGTATCCCTGGATGACGACTTAGCACGTGACATATGTTGTCCACATTTTAAAAATAATATTATAATATTATTAAATGTTATATTAAAGATCATTTTCTTAATTTTAACAATCTTGATACTCATTATTAAGTGAAGTGTACATCTTTTTTTATCATATTTTGTACTGAATTTTTGCTTTTAAAATATAAAATGCCTTTTGATGAACAGTTTTGTTGCAAACAATATTACTATACAAAGGTAGAATAATCATTTATCCAGAAACAGCTGCAACACAGTTGTTTTCAAACCACAAATAACAAATAGATAACCAGCTTATCCGCAGTAGCTTCTGCGGAACAACTTATTATTAAGTTACAGCTACCCAAACAAACTCTTAGTTGAAACTTGGGTTTCGATATGGCATTAATATAGACAAAACTATCTAGAGACAAAGAGAGAGAGAGTGAGAGAGAGAGAGAGAGAGAGAGAGAGAGAGAGAGAGAGAGAGAGAGAGAGAGAGAGAGAGAGAGAGAGAGAGAGAGAGAGAGAGAGAGAGAGAGAGAGAGAGAGAGAGAGAGAGAGAGAGAGAGAGAGAGAGAGCTTAATATCCTAATTAGATTGTGTATTGTGTTTAATTTTTTTTTTCACATGCTATCTCAACACAAAAAAATTAGTTAAGATTGAAATGAACAATGTAACATTACTTTTTTCTCTTAATAATGCAACTTAATATTAGCTAGGGCACATATAAGCTGGTAAACTACTGTAAGCATTTTTTAAATTTTCTCATCTTTTTTCATCTCAAGGATCCAAACTAGCATGTCATTAAGATGTAATATTTACGATTTAAGCCATAATAGCACTATTTTGACAACAAGAATAAAACAATAAATTTTTAAAAAATAAAGATAAAGTTGAATTTGCCTGCGGAGAGTTGAATTTTACCATTTAATATTTATTTATATTTTTAATATATATATATATATATATATATATTGTTGCCATTTCTTACTCTTTGGGAGCAATTAGAGTTCTAAGAGTTGAACTTAAATGAAAAAAAATTTATGCAAATTTGTTTCACAAATTATTTTCAGAGAACTTAAAAAATTACCATATGGCTCTTATTATTTTATTAGTAACACCTAAATTTTCATATTTAGCTATAAAAATTTATTATTTTTAAGTCAAATAAAGATAATATTAATATTTTTCATGCATATATTTTGATATGATTTAGACATTCGAGTAGTATACGCACATATAAAATTAAATGTAAATAATGTTATGTAAAGATAAAATTTGAATGTTTCTATCAAAGGAGAATTTTTTGTTCTTTTCTAAAAGAAAATAAGAGAAAGAATCTAACTCAAGTTCTCAACATATCTGATCAGATTAATCAACTTAATTGTATTAATAAAATCAAACTTTATTTATGTTAGATTTATTAACTAATTGAAAAACCATTTATTATTATTATTATTGTTCAATTCAAGCTCTTCTATTATTCCTACATATTGACTTGTTACGTGGGTTGCACCTCCTAAAACGCTTCTTACATAAGACTGATCATGCCAATTGAGTTTTGGATGAAACTGCAATTATTTTAAATTATAATCAAAACTTTAAGCCAAATGATAGAGAACATTGAAAAGTTCTTTTTTTTTACAAAAATAACAATAAAGCTTTAAAGAAGTGAGAAAGGACAACATTGCAATTGACATTTTAATATAGTTTGGCCTTAAATCTTATAAAATATTGTTTGACCGTTGGAAGCTGTGAAACAGTCGCTGTCAAAAACAGTGAACATTATGGTTGCCCTAATTTTTCCTAATGTTTTTTTTTTTTAAATTTATTTAGTTCAACAAAAGATTATTGCTTGGGTGTTCAATAACCATTATAATTAATTAACCTCATTCTTTCTATCAAAGGGTATCTTAAGGAGATTAATAGAATTGATAATCTTAAGCCAATTGATTTCTATGATGGAGAAATGGTGTATAGATGAAGCTTAAATGCCCCATTTTAAAAAAAGAAATTATCAATGAATGATTATCATACTTTAAAAATGGCTTAGGGTTTGTATGGGTCGGCGGTGCGGCACTGCACTGCAGTTCTGTTTGCTTGGATAAACTGCATTTTAGTACTTTATTTAAAAAATTATTATTGAAATCTGTGTTTTTCCACCGGTCTTAGCTAGGTGTGATCTCAGCTCTAAACCCTAAACTTAAAAAAAAAAAAAAAAAAACTCTACGTAGCTTTTTGAACATCAGATTATTTTTAAGCAGCTTCAAAGCTGTTTTTTAATGAGTTGCAATTGCCCTAAATAGACCCTTAGTTGAGAATAAGTGTAGATAACGAGTGGGGCTATAAAAGAATTTCTTTTTAAGATCTTAATTGAACTATTTATTTTTTATAATATATAATTAAAAATATTATAAGCGGCTACATTATCATTTCTTCTGTGCATGAGTCAACTAATCTCATAAGATTAACAATCAAAGGTCATGATTATGAGAAATTGTTTGTCCAAATTAAATTAATCATTCTGATCGATTCAAGTTGATTAGTTCATTGTAAAGCCGACATTATAATCAATAAATTTGAACTTATCAAGCAAAGTGGTCACCATCATCATGATGAGATATAAATCGGGCTGAAATATAAAGAATTCACCTATCCAACCAGCTCCACAAGCCAGCTACATAGATTTTTTTTTTTTTTTTTGGCTTTTTGAGTAAATTTAATCGTAAAATCGTAAATATATATAGATAGTATATGCAAGGTTCCAAACCCATGATTTTTTGGTTGAAAGCCTGTGCCATAAAAAAAATAGACTAAGTTGAGTTGCAGAAATAGCTTTGTAGCTATGTTTAGGTGCTCAACCAATGAAGATAAAGTCAACCCATAACATCATGGGCTCATCTCATATTGGAAAAGTTCTAATTATGTGCCTAAATTTGTTAGGTATCATAACTGGCATAAGTCCTTTTTTCTTTTTTTTTGAAAATTTTTCATTAGATCCAATCAACATTTATCATATTTTCGTTTTAAGATGACATTTTTAAACCTTAATTTATTCTGGTACATTTTTAAGATGACATTTTTATAATTTAATAAGCTATTAAACTATAACAAACTAATTTATGCAACTTAATTAATACAATTCAGTTATTAACAGCAAACTAAAATTATGATATTCTGTTATATTTACACCTGTATTACAGTTGCTAACAACTTGTCTTCTGCGAACAAATACCAATACAATATTCCCGCTGTTATCATCGGTTTACAGCTCTTGTAACCAGATAATGTCGGCTTAATCACCATTGCCGATAGCTACATCTCATCAACCTACCATTTTTAACCATCTTTGAGTTATTCTCGTCCCATATACTTTGATTTCAGTTTAACAAGTTACGAAGGCTCACAATATTTCTGAAGAAACTATCGACTGCATGAATTTAAGGTGAGCACGAGTAACTATGTTTCATCATTAAACTTATTGAAAATAAATAAAAAATTAAAGTGTGCTCAATGCCAGAACTAATCAGCCAAAAACGAGATGAAACCAAAGAGCTCAAGATCGCTCAATTTTGACACTGCTAAGACATTCAAATGTCCGCATAACACTGTCCAATCAAAGAAAATTCTATGGCCGTCTGATCGAGTGAACCAAATTTTTTTCTTATTTATTGGGAGGCCTTTCATAAAATCTATAAATAGAACCCTACACCTTCATGAAAAGGAGGGAATAGCTGAAGCTAAGGCTGGATTAGGAAGAGGAGTTGAATTTCAGTGTTGTCTTGCACCAAAGACTAGGCGAATGCTTCCCGCACCTGCACACGCCAACCGCAATTGACCACCTTGTGTCAGTCGTCATTGATCATCGTCTGTTGCCCCCTCTCATTTCAATGAATCCCCTTACAAAGTCACGACATACGCTGCGGAGTAATGGAGTACCATACGGAGTAACGACCAGTCTTGCAAAGTAATAAAGCATCCTGCGAAGCAACGCATACCAAAAATAGTGTAATAACGCACTCTGAATATGATATAAGAATTTCCTAAATATGATGCAATGCACATTTCATACATAATGCGTCAACACACCCTAAAAATGGTGTAACAACGCACCTTGAAGATGGTGTAACTACACACCCTAAATACAGTGCATGATATGTCCCACATATGCTACAGTGACACATCCCGAAGACGGTGTAACGTTGCACACCGAAAATGATGTAATAACATACCCCGAATGTGTTGTAACAATACACCATGCAATAACTGCTTACAACCGTCGTACTCAGAATATGGTAACATTATCTGGACTCACAAAGTTCTCTCCTCACATCGCATTACTATGGTCTACATGATCAACTATGACATATGAATGTTATCAGAACTCATGCAACTTCTAACTTAGGCATCTGCAACCTACAAAAGTTATTACAATTCATCACTATGCTCGACATGATCCACTGTTATTTTCGGCCTCTATGGCTTACAAATGTTATTGCAGCTCATCATTACAACACAGGTAACCAATTATAGCTTTGCATAGCTCATGCACTCACAAATTTGACTTCTACGACCTACAGATATTATTGCAGCTCACCATCACGGCCTATATGACCAACTTTGGCCTAAGTGATCCACAACTCATGTAACTCTAACTCCGACCACTAAATGTAGCTCCTAACTCTAGTCTTAGTGGCTTATGAATATTATCACAGCTCATGCAACTCCAAAATCTATCATTTTTGCCTATGAACGTTATCAAATCTCATGTAGCTCCCAACTAAGGCTTTTATGGCTAACCGACTCTTTTGAAGTAATCACCTACGATGTACATGACCAACTACTATCACAACTTTCAACTAGGCATCTACAATAAGCTAGCGCTGCGACCACCATCTACAACATTCATGGTGGACTACTGCCTCCACAATTATTATTGCTAAAATACTGTTGTACATCAACTTTGTAATTTTATATTACCTAATTCAGGAGAGGAGTGTGTCTGTATGCTCACAATTACATAGTACATTATTTCAGTTGGGTCAGACTCATGGTTCTTTTTCCTCTTCAAAGTTTTTTTTTTTATGTAAAAAATGTAAAAAGTTCTAGTGTCTCTAGTGTCTCTATCCATCAGCTTAATTAAATGTGTATGTGTTGTATTTTTGTGCAGTGCTAAGATGCTGAAAAACATTGAAAAAGAGAATAAAACAACTCGGTTTGGTCACATCGAAGTAAGCCACTAAGGAATTGTAAAAACATAGGCCCACTCTTCTCTTGAACTAGAAAAGAAGAAATTAAAACATGAATATACAATGTTAGTTCAACAATAATAGATGTTACCGGCCACAAAGACCGTAGTTGCCTGCTATGGAGGCAACAGTCTGCTATAAATATTTTAGGAGGTGGTTGTAGCTCCAATTTATTATTAAAGCCGTATTTAAAAGTTGTGGTCGTAATTAGCCAAATAGGCAGTAAGTGGTAGCTTCAGGAGCATCAGTTGGCCACAACAACCGTAGTTGGGAGTCACGATAGCTTTCTTAGTCCGCAAAGGTCAAAGTTAGGAGATGCAAGTTTTTTGAGCCACGTAGGCTGTAGTTGGTCACATAGAGGCTACAACGAAGAGCTGTAAGAAAGTTCGTAGATAGTAGAGCTTGGAGTTAGGAGCTACATGAGCAATGAGTCATATAAACCATAGTTGGTCACACATATTGTAGCAGTAAGATGCGATAATGTTAGTAGGCCGTAGAAGCCGAAGTTGAGAACTACATGAGTTGTGAGCCAAGCAGGTCATATAAGTCATATTGGTGAGTTGTGATAACGTCCATAGATCGCAGACGTTGGAGTTGGGAGAGCTGCATGAGTTGTTGATCATGTCAGCCGTAGTTAGTCACGTAAGTCATAGTGATGAACGATGATAATGCTTATAGACAACACCAGCTTTATTTTATTTAAAAAGTAAAGATTATGAGCATTTAGTTGTTGCAACAAAAGTTTTATTTTACATCATCTTATTTTTATGTTATGTGCACGAGCTTGACGGTAGAGAAGAAAAGATCTAAGCAAAAATACACATTTCTATCCGCATTTTTAGCATAAGCATATATTATTATATAGGCTTGCAAAATATCTTGAAATATCTCATATTCTGCTTTATTTTTAAGTTAAGAAAAACTTAATTTAATATATTTCCCGTGGAAAAATCCGTGATCATTGGGTGACTTATTAGAAGGCTTCTTTTTAATCTGGTTTCACACGCCCAATATTACATTATTCTAACCAAGGTCAGATGCATGTATCTCTAATTCTCTCCAATTAAGATAAGCACTCAACCACTAAACAGAATTTGCTTATAAAATCTATTTATATTAAAGTGGCATTTACATATATATCACCTAATTTCTATGTATTTACATGTGTAACAGTTGAATTTTGGTTTTTACATTTATACCACCCAAATCCTTCATATCACATAACAAAAAATACCTCCATTTTAAATTTCAAAAGTGAAATACACCTTTATTGCCCAAGTAAAACGGTATGTTTGTAGATCTTCCAATTTTAAATTCTTAATTTTATAATACCATCGAGATCAATCGCACACTCAATCAATTAAAATTTTAATTTCTTTGGGGAATATATAAAGTCAGGATATTATTGTTATTTGCAAGTTGGAAGGCTATTTTCTGAGAGCAGCTAATCAAATAGGATTTGATTAATACCTTTAAGATAGATTTCTTAGTTCTATAAGTTCTGCCAAGCACTTCACGTATAACATCATGATTAATCATGGTTAATTAATTCGTAGCTAGCATTTTAATTTTTTTTAAATCGGGAATGCATCAAACACAAATCTCAAGGAGATCAAGCAGAAAAGCTCAGGCTTTATTTCTAAATTTTAACCTCTCTATCCCATTTTTTGGAAAAAATATCACCAGGATTTCATTCACTGTACGTGTACGATCTGACCTCATTGTGTATTAAATTATTTAACTTTTTTATTAAAAGGGCCAAATTGTACACATGATAGTCAGTAATTGGAGTGTTGCCATTTTTTCAACAGAACTCATTGATGTAATATTTTCTCCCTTTCGCGATATTTTCATCTAATTTTTTAATATTAATCAAAATCGTCGAACTTATGCTCTGCCTCTCTGTAACCCGTGTTATACATACCTTTAGTTCATTATGGTACCAGACAAACCCGGCATTTGCAGTTTTACGCTTACTATTTCATAATCTAATATCACGATAACATCATTTTTCACATTTAAGAAACGATTTCCAGCTTGAGTATAGTTCACTGCATAATAATTATATTAATGATTTAGATTTGTACCTACTGCTACTGCAGGGCAGCAGAAACGAAAGTAAAAATTGAAATTTTCATGCAAATTCTAGTTTTCATTTTGTCATATTTCGTTAGCATAAAATCATTGATTACCTGTCCCTCTTTGCAGCCAGAAAAACAACTTTTGGATCTACCAGCCTTCACTATCCCTCACATGTTTCACGCTTTCAGAGGCCGCAGAACAATCTGGCACCCTCCTCCGCAATACCCGCGGACAAGCCCTACTAAGTTCTCAACTGTTTCTGCCAATTGCGCTCCCAACTTCAATTTCTTGCAGCATCCAACACTCTTTTAGGTATGTCAATAAATAAACAAATTGACTAATGAGATGAATGCCTTTTAACTGAGATTTCTTATGGAATATTCTAGCCATGGTGTCCATTGAATTGCCTTTGGCCTCATATGCGTGCTGTCACCGATGCGTGTGACACCTTGGTATCCACCGAAATATGAACTTTGGCTTTTATATTTATACTACAATTTAATCATGTCTATGCACCTTTTCATGCGCAAATAAGATCACCATAAAAATGTAAGAAATTGAGGTTTAGAAGCTAGATATGTGAATACATAGGAATTGAGAGGTATGTATGTAAATCTTTATTTTCCATAATGTGTTCAAAATAAGAGCTTATGACAGTTTGAAGATCATTTTCGTGCATCCATCCTAAATGCAATGAACGGCCAACAACTTTTTGAAATTTTGTCTTGTGACTATGACATTTATTTTATCCCGTGCCTATAATCTGAGCAATTTTAGAATTTATATGATGCTATGTGTTTACTTTATGATTATTCATGGAGGTTTATAACGATATTAATAAAAGTTAATTTTTATTTATTAGTATATGATTATATTTCTTATACTAATTATTAGCGCCATTCTAAATATCCTCCTTTTGTTACTGTGATCTATACTAATTAATGCAGATGAACACCTCAGATAACAGTTCCAATAACAATAGAAACAGAGAACTTCTGAATAAACACTGAACAATATCATAGAATTTAAAGCATTTAACTTTACATGACTTCCAACGAGATTTAGCATTCTAATTATGTTGTATTCAAGAAATGTTGGCAGCTGCACATGTAATAGAAAACGGGAAAAAAAATTCAAAAAAAGGTTTATAGAACAAGCAACCAAAATTAATTAAAAGTATCAACCATTTATGTACACATTGATATTGATTGTATACTGAAGATACCGAAAAATGTGATATTGGATGCTTCAACTCATCTTGACCCTGTATGCATAAAATCAAAGGAAGATTTACATATATACCACTTAATTCCTATGTTTTTACATATAACGTGCATTTCACGTTTTAAAAGTTAAAATAGAGTTATCTTTGTTGTGATAAGAAAAATTTGGATGGTATCCAAATAAAAAAGTAAAGTTTAGGTATTAAATATGTAAATACATAGAAATGGGATGATATGTTTTTAAATGCCCTAAAATTAAAATTAGTAAATCTATACAAATTAAGCTAGCACATGAACAAGCAAAACAAAGGGCTCTTAAGCCAATGGGGGAAACTTTCGAGTAATTCCCATTCAGGGCAAAATCATTCACATATATTTTGCATGTTCTTTACATTCTACGCCATTTTTTTTATTTTATGTATTTTTTTATTTTGCCTTATGTTGATCTGCATGAAAGACCCAAAAAATATAGGTATCTTCTTCTTTAGTAATTTTGATATATTGGACATGTTCTCGTTTGAGCAATTTGGACAATCCTCAAGGTGATTTGGGTCAAAGCCAAGCACATCCTACCGGTAGTCCATTGCTTGCATCATACTTGGTCATTTTGATCATAAAATATTCATTCCCGAGTAATTTTAACGTTCCTAATGCATTTGTGTAATCTATTTTTGAACGGGCAACAGTTGGGTGGCTTCGACAGTGATTAAAATGTTTTAAACTCAGATTCACAAATCATCATAGTTGTTGCATGTTTTCTTGTCCAGGGATCTCTACTAAGCAATCTTGGCATTTGGAATGAATTTGAGAAATCCATTTGGTAAATTAGCATTATTTCAATTCACATCAAACATAATCAATGCATTTTACCTCAATTTGCATGTCATCACACTCATTGGTCGTCTTTTTCATCATTCAACATATATAGAGATTAACAGTCGGCCGCTAGTTGACAACTTAACCCAACCTTGTCAACCCAAAAGGATAGCTCAAGAATCATTGTCTGTTCACTTTTCAATCAGGTGAAAACCTAAGTTAGCACAACAAATATTATTTTAAGATAATTCTACATAAGTATTATATTATCTTTCTCAAAATTTATAAATAGGCTATAATTCTCATAGGGCTTTAAGTTGCACAAAACTTTAAAGCTTTAACCACTTCTATAGAGTCATCAAACCACCGCCTTACTAACTTTGTAAGATTGTCTTGTCATGTCAACCTCTTATTCCTTAATAATTTAATTTCTGTTTATTTAAATACAAGAAATATTTCATCATTCTAATTTCAATTTTAAACTAGTGGATTAACTTATTGAATTTTTCTTGTAAAAAGTATTTGTGCTCTCTAATTACGTGCAACTTTACCTTTATCTATATTGTTATGTTTGTGCACTACTTGTCTTGCAAGCCAAGAAAAAAAAAACACACATTTTAATGCTTTTACTTTTGACATTACAGTCTAACTTAATTTAAAATATTGCAAGGAAATAGCAGTGGATATGGTTGATTTACATTTGTTTTATTGGATTTTGCTTTGCATCACTCTCTTTTTTAGTAAATTAAAAAATTCTATGCAATTTTAATTTTGGATTTAGTCTTAGCTTTTCTGAGTAGAATTGTTCTTTTTTAATACATTAAAATTGTTTCATATTTTGACCTTAAGTAAAATACAATAATTTAGACAAATTTACATAAATTTATTATTTTCATGGACCATTGCCCAGGACATTGCTTTTGGCCTTTCATACTAATACTATTATTGATAAGAATAATGAAAAAAAGTACACACTAATACTTATAATAAATTAGATAAATATAAAAATTTGAGGTGATATAAACATTAAATTTTTCTTAATTCTATAAATATCTGATTTATCTGGTCAAACTAATTCTTTTGTAAACTATTTGACCAAGAAGAAATCACCTACACATAAATTACTTTGCAAAAAAGGAAAAATTTTCAGCAATTTATACTGAAATATTTTCTAATTTGCAAAATTGAAATCAATTTATTAAAATCAATGCTTCTCGAACTGAGACCACACAAATTTGTATATTTTAGTCTCTTCGTGATATCTTTCTGATTTGACAACTACTTTTTTACTGCTTTCTAAAATCTTGCAATCATCTTTTATTTAAAAATTGCAACTAAAATCTTAACTTATAGAACACTAAAACTTCCTAGAAAAAGGCATGCCATATTTGATATATATTGGATATAGACAAACGAGTGACACGAATCACCCCCAGCACATACCTATCCACTTAAAAAATAATAATAATAAACACAAACCACTCAATTTTTATGTATCTACATATCTAGCATCTACACTTCAATTTTTACATATAGACCACTTTATCTATGAATGAAAACATGTATTTTATTCTTTAAATATAAAAAAAAAACAATTTTTATACAATATAAAAGATTTGAATGGTATAAATATAAAAAATAAAATTTTAATGGATATTGTATTGCTTAAAATTGTTTTAAAATTTATGCTAATGTGAGTGTTAGTAACCATAAAAATCCTGACATCAACTGTCCAACTAATTATACGCCAAGTGTAACACGGCTGTCAAGCAGACCAAAAAGATCTGCCGCCCTCGTTGGGCAAGCACTGCTCTGCTTGCCTTTTGATTCGTCTCTCCAATCTCTTCTTCCTGGCTCCATCGCACACGCCGCCTCCTTAGTGCTGTTTATTAGTCTTCAACTCCCAAACTCTCAGTCATCGTTAAAGCCGGCTTCCACCTTCCACCTTCCAGATCCAGTCGCCCCACTTAACTCTCTTGTTTGCTTGTTCCACTCTTCCACTTCCACGTTGACCCACTACTTGCTGACCTGTCCCTCAACTTATTCTACCTCCCTCCCTCTCCCCCTCAACTACCAAGTTCGATGCAACTCCCCACCTAGCTCTCTCATTTCACTGTATATATTCAAGCTCAATTCACTATTTTTCTTCCCAATCCATCTGCTCTCAGCTCACTGACTCCTTAAAAAATTATAAAGTTTCCATCTTGAAGAGTTGTTTCACGGATCCCATGGCTCTTGACGCGATAACCGAGCCGCCGCCGCCGGCCGCAAGGGAGGGTTCGTTGTCGTGGCCGCCGCGGCCGGCGGGGGCAGGGGGGGGGGGAAGGGTGGGCGAAGCGGAAGCGTTCGAAGCGTCAACGTTCGCTTGACCGCCCGCCGACGGAAGAGGAGTATCTTGCCCTCTGTCTGGTCATGCTCGCGCGCGGAGGCTCCGACCACAGTCTCCCGCCGCTTCCGTCTTCACCCCCACCAGAGGGTCTCTCCTACAAGTGCTCTGTTTGCAGCAAGGCGTTCGCGTCTTACCAGGCTCTCGGCGGACACAAGGCCAGCCACCGCAAGTACCCCGGCGGTGCTTCCGACGACGCCGCCTCCTCTGCCTCCGGTTCATTCGCCTTCGTTTCCTCCGGCGGAAAGGTTCACCGTTGCTCCATTTGTCAGAAGGAATTTTCCACGGGGCAGGCGCTGGGCGGGCACAAGCGATGTCACTACGATGGAAGTGGGGCGGCGGCGGCGGCGGCAGCGACGGTGGCGTTAGCTTCAGAGGTTGCGAGCTCGGAACAGAGGGAATTCGATCTGAATATTCCTGCAGCGGTGGAATTTGTCTTTGAAGGGAGCAGGCGATGTGTGGGGAGTGAGGACGGGGAGGTACAGAGTCCTCTGGCGCTGAAAAAGCCGCGCTTTCTGATCCCGGCTTGATAGTCTATTGTTTCTCTTGTTCAAGCTTTGTTACCGAGATGTTAGAAGATTTCCTCTATTTTGGTTGATTTCGATTGTGTATAAAGAGGAGGATTGGATTTTTTTGTAGTTTAGAGTTCAGCTGTTGGTGTTTAATTCTTTTTTTTTTTGTTTTGTTTTTTAATCTTGTAGCAGCAGGAAATAATTTATTTGTTGTGAATTAATGAATCAGTACAATTTGGGCAGTATGAGATCAATCAACGCAGCATCAGTCATTTTTTGGCAGTACAATAAGTTGAGAACATGTAATGCAATGAATAATATACCATAAGCTGTTATCTTATGCCTCAACGCCATTTTCTAGTGTTTGGAGGGCTCTCATAGCTTGAAAGAAATATTGTCCTTCGGAGTCAAAAAGAAAAATCTCATGTATCGTGTTAATTGTCCGGACGTAGCTTACGTCCGAACTCCGAAAGCAATATTTTTTTCATAGTTGGACTCTAAAAAGTGTTTAATTAGTCATTTAAGTATATTTTCAACAATTATTTGGTATTTTTATATCATATATGAATCAAGTAATAATTTTCTGGTGTGTGGAGAGCTCTCATATGGGTAGATTTAAAACTGAACTTGTTGCCCTCATATGCTTACAGAGTTTAGTTAGTTAATCCAAGTGAGAGTTTTTCCTTCATTTTTTTATTTATTTTCACAATTTTCTAATGAACATGAAACTTGCTTTCATAGTTGAACTTCTATCCGTTTGGGTCGTCTCATGTTTATCTTATCTGTTTTTCCCACTTTAAATTGATAATTATCTCTACTGACATGTATGACATTAATTTCTTGACACTTCATGGTTAAAATAGTATTCCTTTGAAATCTAGCAAGCTTAGTTAGTTACAAAAAAACTTTCCCATTTTGTACGAGGGATTAATTGATTAAAGTTAGAAAGTTTTTTAAAAAAATATAAAATTCCTTTATTATATTATTTTGTTCGATATAGTTAAAATTGTAATCTTTACTTTAAACTCTTCAAAATACCTCAAAATTTTTCTCAACCATAGGCCTACCAAATGAATAAAAAAAATATATTATTTTTAAAGGCATAATTTATATCTACAATCAACCAAATGAAAACTACATGTTATTCTTGGTGTTGAAGTTATTCCCTCTCCTAAAGTTATCCTTCTTTCTCAACACAAATATATATAACATATTATAAGAAAGTCTCAAATGACTAATGCAAATGAAGTCACTGAAATGATGACTCCCAACCACATGCCAACCATCTTTGATTGGCACCGCTCTTGCCAATGCATCCGAATATCATTCTCTTATTGGCAGTCCTCAATATCTCTCTTTTACTCCACCAAACGTCACCTTTGTAGTTAACACATTTTATGGTCGACCACCTATTGTACATTAGAGCATTGTCAAACGTATTTTTCGTTACGTTCGAGCAACCATCAATCATGGGTTATTTTCCTGTCAACACTTTCCACTTTCTGTGTTAGATATGGCTCATATCTAGGGAGTTGGAGTTTCTTTTGAAGAGGCGTGTCTCCTGGTGAAAAGGAGTGTCTCTTGGAATAAAGGGGGTTGGGAGGAGCGAGGGCGTGATTGTAATTTTATCCGAGGGTTAGTATATGTCTATTTATATGTGAAAACCTATGGGATGTATCTTCAACTTCTCTGAAATAGTGAAACCGCCGCTCGCTCCCGAGGACGTAGGCAATTCTTTGCCGAACCTCGTTAAATCTTTGTGTTCTTCTAGTTTGTGTTGATTCCTGTTTTTATTCCGTTAAATTTCACAACAATTGGTATCAGAGCGAGGAGCGAGGGAACAGGAGGAGATCGACGCAGGAAGAAGATTTGAGGAGTTTTGCCGGTTGTGCGGCAGTTCCGGTTTTGAGACGAGTTCGGTATTTCGCGAATCGAAAGAGTTCGCATCAGGCTTCGGAAGGAGGATCGAACGCGAAGGCTTCGGTTCCGGGACAGAGGGTTCGACGATCGGCAGTGGAGTCCAGCGAGGGAATCGCAGGAGTAGTTCGCAGTTCTGTGCGAACAAATTCGCGAGACAGGATTCGGCAAAGGAGAATCGCGGGAGAACTTTCGCGCATAAGGAGTTCGCGAATCGTCTTCTTCGGCAGAGGCGAATCGCGGGGCGCGGCAGCAGAGGCGAATCGCGGCAAGGAGTCCAGCGAAATTTTTGGAGTTTCTGCGGTTTCGGGAGTTCGGGGCAATCCTCCGAACGAGTTCGCGGACGGCTTCCACGACGAGGGTCTTCGGTGCTTGCGATTTGGTGCTTGCAAATCGCGGATTCGCGAGGTTCTTCGCGATTAGCGAGCGGAACAGGGGCGCGACGGTTGTTCGACGAGGAAGTTCGCGGTTTTCGGTAGCTTGACAGGATCGATTCGGCGATAGAGTGCTGCGGTTTGGAGCAATTTCGCTTCAGCGAATCGTGCAAAGCGAAGATAGAGGCGTCGACAGGATCAGCGTCTACGGGATCCGCAGTTCGCAGAGGGCAGTTCACGAATCTTGGGCTTCTTCTGCGCGACACCGGAAAGAGGCAAATTCGAATTGTGGCAGACGGGACGATCGCAGCGAGTCGCGACATCGAGATAGTCATCCGTCAAGTTTCTGCGGAGGAGTCGGCAGTTCGACAGTTCGTTCGTCTCTTGGTTCGTGGGCAGGCAGCGACAAATTGAGTTCAAAATCTGCGGAAGAAACAGTTTTGGAGGCAGTTTTGAAGTCGCGAAGGGCGAAGTGCGAGGAGGTGCGAGGTTCAGTTTAGTGAACCGTCGTGCAGTTTCAGGAAACAGAGGAGTTCGGCAGGTTCAACAATCCGTGGGAAACAAAGGCTGTCCACCGCGAACAGGAGCCTTGTTTTGCGGAAAAACTGAGGAATTCGATCAGTTAAATTCGTCGGTTCGTCGCAGGAGATTTTGCGACAGGTGGAGTTCGGCAGGGTGCAGGAGGCGAGTAGACACGATTATTTCGTGAACAGGAGTTTCGTGGAGGTATTCCTCGAACAGGTGCGAAGGGATTCGTGGCTCGCGGAAACAGCAATTGGCCGAGGTACTGGTACGAACAGGAAAAGTGCTTCGTGGGAAAATTTGATTCACGAATCACAGGAGAATCGCGGGATAGTTGTTGCATTGACAAAGAAAATTTCAGGATTAGATTTCAAATAGCAATGTCTGGGGCAAAATTCGAGATAGTGAAGTTCGATGGAACCGGGAACTTCGGATTGTGGCAAACAAGGGTAAAAGATTTGTTGGCACAACAGGGAATTTTGAAGGCTTTGCGGGTTACGAAACCTGATAATATGGAAGATGAAGATTGGGAAGAGTTACAACTTCGAGCGGCAGGTACCATACGTTTATGTCTCGCAGATGAGATTATGTATCATGTTATGAATCTGAAATCTCCAGGAGAAGTATGGAAGAAATTGGAATCTCAGTTTATGTCCAAATCTTTGACGAATAAATTGTATCTGAAGCAAAGGCTGTATGGGCTGAAGATGCAGGCAGACACTGATTTGGTTCAGCACTTGAATGTCTTCAATCAAATAATCACGGATCTGGCACGGCTTGATGTGAATATTGAGGATGAAGACCGAGCAATGATTCTTTTGTGTTCATTGCCTACTTCTTATGAACATCTGGTGACTACTCTTACATATGGGAAAGAAACAATTAAAATTGATGAGATTACTGCAGCATTGTTGGCTCACAACCAGCGGAAGCAGAATGCAGAGGAAAGCTCTCATG